TGGTTGCGCCGGTTTTAAGCGCGCCGGCCCCGCCCCCCGCCACCGCGGCCGCTACGGGGACCACTGCGGGGGGAGAGGAGGGGGAGCCGATGGGGAGGGGGCGCGGGGAGAGACCCCGGCTGGAGCAGGGCGCGGGGTTTTGCCCGTCACGGCGTTCAGGAGGGGGCTCCAGCCACGCTGTGATGGTTCCCGGCCACAGCTGCTGCGCCCCACGGGTAAACCTCTGCGGGCCTTTGGGAGGGCTCTGGGACTCCCTAAGCTGCACCCCATGGATAAGCCTCGCTTTTGGGATGGCTCTGGGCCCCCCACGCTGCACCTCATGGATAGACCTTGCTTTTAGGACAACTCTTGGAATCGCTAAGCCACACCTCATGGTTAAACCTCGCTTTTGGGACAGGTCTGGGACCCCCAAGCTGCACCCGATAGATAAACCTCGCCTTTAGGACAGCTCTTGGAGTCCCTAAGCCACACCTCATGATTAAACCTCGCTTTTGGGATGGCTCTGGGACCCCCACGCTGCACCTCATGGATAAACCTTGCTTTTAGGACAGCTTTTGGAATCCCCAAGCTGCACCCCAAGGATAAACCTCACTTTTGGGACAGCTCTTGGAATCCCTAAGCTACACCTCATGGATAAACCTCGCTCTTGGGATGGCTCTTGGAATCCGCAAGCTGCACCTCATGGATAAGCCTTGCTTTTAGGACAACTCTTGGAATCCCTAAGCTGCACCTGCTGGATAAACCTCAGCTTTAGGACAGCTTTTGGAATCCCTAAGCCACACCTCATGGTTAAACCTCGCTTTTGGGACGGCTCTGGGACCCCCAAGCTGCACCTGCTGGATAAACCTCAGCTTTAGGACAGCTCTTGGAATGCCTAAGCTGCACCTCATGGTTAAACCTCGCTTTTGGGACAGCTCTGGGACCCCCAACTCACCCGTGAGCTGTGTGACAGCAGTGGCGGCCAGTGCCTCGGTGGCCAGTGTCACCATATCATCGGAAGCCACCGTGACGATGTTGACCTCATCGCCTTCCTCCGGCTCGAGGATTTTGATGCCCGCCTTGCCTTGGTGCACCGTCTTCACATGGGAACGCAGGTTGTCCACCCGGTTGAAGCCCCGGCCGCATTTGTCACACAAAAATGGCTTCTCCCCTGGGGACGAGTTGAGAAATTTAAGGGTGGTTGACGATTTAGGGGGTTGATTGACAATTTGGGGGGTTGTCGGGGTACCCACCGGTGTGGATAATGATGTGTTTGGAGAGATCGCCCACGTTGACGAAGGCTTTGTTGCAGACGGTGCATTTGTGGGGTCGGATATTATCGTGGTGACGGATATGGTTGGCCAGTTGGCTCGATTGCACGAATCTGGGGGGGGGAAGAGGGGGGGCAAACCAGGGTGGTCACCACGATCCCCGTCCCCAACGATGGCACCCTGGCACCTCCACGTGGCCGTGGAGGGTGGGTGGAGTTGCACCCCAAAATTCACGGGGTGAACCCTCACCTCTTGCCGCAGCGTTCGCAGACGTAGGGCTTCTCCCCGGTGTGCTGGCGCACGTGGGCGATGAGGGAGCTCGCTTGGGTGAAGGCTTTCCCGCAGATCAAGCACTGGCACGGCTTCTCTCCTGGGGGAGACAAGATGTTGGGGGGGGGGGGGCAACACCACGGGGATGCACGAGGCTCCCCCAAAATTCCTTGGGGAAAAGGAGGGGTGGCAGAGCTGTGTCCCTACCGGTGTGGATGCGGACGTGTCGCTGCAGCGCCCCGGGGTCGGCGAATTGGCGCTGGCAGTGGACGCAGACGTAGGGTTTCTCCCCGCTGTGGATGCGGAGGTGCCGTTTCAGGTTGCCTGAGAGCAGAGGAGGCTCAGCCGGGGGGCATGGGGACACCAGCACCCTCCCTCCCTCCTTCCCAGCGCCCCGGTAGCTCCATCGGGAAAGTCCATCGCTATTTACGGAGCGGGGACCAACCTGGAGCTGAGGATCAGGCAACAACATGGTTGTGAAGACCATTTTTGAGGGGATGGAGAGACTCCATCAGCCTCATCCAGACCCCTCGAGCTCTGCAGAGGTTTGGGGAAATGGGAGGAGATGTCTCCATCCCAAAAGCTGGATCAAGGGCTCCTTCCAGGAGCATCCCCGGGGTGCGATCCCATAGGGGACGCCAGAAATTTATGCAGCACAACCACAGCGAGAGGTTTAAACCCTCCCGTGCCCAGGATGAAACCCCTCCTCCGGCTCCCATCCCCCCACGGAGCAGTCCCTGTTTCCCCCTGAGCCAGCCGAACCTCCGTCGCTCGGACCTCACCACCTACCAACCCCGGGCTACCTGAAGTGGTGAACTGTTTGCCGCATTCCCGACACTTCAGAGGCCCGTCCGCGATGTGAATCTTCAAGTGAGCCTTCAAGTTCCCCACCTGGGGACAGAGAGAGGGATGCAGAGAACCCCCCAACATCACCCTCATCTCCCTCCAGAGGGACCCAAACCCCCGTGGGTCCGGCTTTCCCCCCCCCCCAATTCACCTGGTTGAATTTCTTGTCGCAGTGGGGACACTTGTGCTCCTTGTCGGTGTCGTGGGTCTCCAGGTGCCGCATTTTAGAGGTGGGGTCAGAGAAGGAGCGCCCGCAGTAGTCGCACTGGTACGGTTTCTCCCCGCTGTGGACCAGCTGGTGCCGTTTGAGGTTGCCAGAGGTGGTGAAGAGCTTGCCGCAGTCGTCGCAGCGGTATTTGGCCTCAGCAGGCTGATGAGGCGGTAGCTCTTCCCGCACTCCTCGCAGCCGTAGGGCTTCAATGGGCTGTGGAGGAGACGGGGCCGTCATGCTGGGGGGGAAGCACCGGCGTGCCGAGCTCTCGCCGCCCTGACCCGAGCTCCACCACCCCAGCCAGACCCACCCGGATCCCACAGGATACCTTGAAGCAACGCAAAACGGAAGGACGGGTGGAAAGATAAATCTCCTCCCGGACTGCCCCACCGCGCTGACACATTTCGCAAGGATTCGATTTTTTGCAGCAAAAGCCGCATTTTTTAGGCGCTGCCGGCACCTTTGCGTGGCTGGCGCCATCCAAATGAGCTGCTGGGAGTTTCCAACCCTGCAGCGCCGACTCCTCCAGACCCATGCGAGAGGCAGAGCTGCATTGGCTGCTGTACCGACCTCTTCCTCAAACCCTCACGCCCTCAGCCAGCCGCCGGCATCATCACAAGCCTTCCTCCACCCGGCGGCACCGCTCGGTCCCCGGCGTTGCCGTACCTGTGCGTCTTCTCGTGGGCTTTGCATGCAGCCGGGTCGGAGAAGGCTTTGTTACACTCCCTGCAGGAGAAGGGTTTCTCGCCGGTGTGGATACGGATGTGCCGCTTGAAGTTACCGGTGTGGGTGAACTCCTTCCCGCAGTCCTAGGGACGGAGAGAGACAGGTGCAGGCGCGGCCGGTGACGCCCGGTGTCCCCGAGGGACTGGAGACGCCGCTCGGGGCCGCAGCCGGCCTCACCTCGCACTTGTGCGTGACGGAGCCGTAGGCTTTCGACTCGGTCCTGTCACTGTAAGTACCCGAACGCAGCAGACGGGTTTCACCCAAGTTCTCCTGCCCAGAGTCGGTGCTTCCCGATTCATTATCTTCGGCGTTTTCTCCATTTTCTAACCGGGGCTGTTCTTCCTCAGGGATTTTAGCCTCCTCTTCGTCCTCTGCCGTCATCTCCCCCTCTTCCTCCTTCCCTTCCAGCTCTGTCTCTGCAGGCATTTAGGAAACGGGGATGCTAGCGGTCGGGAGCAGCAGCAGAGATGCAAAACCCACCTCTATTTCCTAACTCTAAGCCTGGGCTTAAGGTGATGGGGATTAGACCTGCCCTACCGTACTCAGGGAAATCCTGGTACTCCATCATGCCACACAGGTGCCGAGACCTCTGCCTGGAGTCACTTTGGATTTACAGGTAATTAGGCCTAAAATCCAAAAGCCTGCGCAGGCAGAGGAGCACTTCCCAACCTCTCCTAGCTCTGCCCCACGGACAACCGCTCCTGCGGGCTCTGCGACTCGCAGGAAACAGTGCCTGCACAGCAGAACTCACGCTAACAAAATTAATTGCATGGAAAACAAGGGTTCGACGCTTGCCCAGCTTTGCTTCAGCCCTGCTGAAGGGAGCGGGCAGGCAGCAAAGTCCCCGCCACCGCCTTTGCTCATAACACACCTCCCGTTTCGGCACCCGGAGAGATGCTGCCCTTCGCCGCAGGGCTGCTGCTGCTGACCATGCTCTCCCCTGGCTGCGGGTGGCTGGGAAATTCGGCGTTGGGGCCCTCTTGGATGGCAACATCTGCCCCTAGAAGCAACAGAGTGTCTCGGGCACGCCTGAGGAGACATCAGGCTCCACACAGCGGAGCCTGGCAGCAGGACAGGGTGTGCTGGGGGGAGTGACAAGGGGGGGTTTGGGTGTCATCCCTTGGTGGCTCACCTTCTTGGCCACCCAGCTGCTCCGTCTGCGCCTCAGGCTGCGCTGCCGTGGCTACGGGCGTCTCTTCCTTCCCCTCCGGGTCGGGAGGAACGGGTTTTATTTTGTCAAGATGACCCAGTGGTTCTGCAGCCGACCTCTTGTCCTCGACAGTCGCCTTGTCAGCCCCTGCGAGGGAAGAGGCAAAGCGCTCCAGCTTTTGCTGCCCACGCAGGGGCACCCCGATGGCTGCTAGAAGGATTCCCAAATCCCATAAAGATTCAAGGAAGCATCAGCCACTGCTGGTGGCTCACAAGGGGACCAAACCTCATCCCGACACTCTTGTGCACCAGATGTACCCAGGTCATGGGCTTGGCCGCTTCGCGGGGCAATTCCCAGTCTCCCAGGATGAGGGAAAGCGAGGAGGCTACGTACCGATCGCGGCGGGGGGCTGCTGGCTCCTGGCGGGGCTTTCTGCTGGTGCAGCGAGGGACTTGAGAGCGTTGCAAGCGCTAACGATCTCCTGCATTTGGAGGAAACCCGCCACAGCCAGCACGTCTTCCACATTGTCGGGGTTTAGGCTTAGCTTAGCCGTGTACATGAACTCCAAAACCTGGCCCAGGCCTGCAAGGGAGGCGATGCAACCAGAAATAAGTTCTTACCTCTCGGCCATACAATTTTGAAAAGCCCAAAGCGCACAAAAGAACAGGCTGAAGAGCCTCCCTTGGCCCCCGGGCACCAAACCGCTTCGTTTAAGCGGCACAGAGGGATATCAGATAACCCTCTGCCTACCTGCCGCGTTGCTGATGTCGAGGTGCACCACGTCCTTCTGGTCGACGAAGAGCATCCTGAAATACTCGCTGCAGGCCGCCAGCACGGCTTTGTGGGCCTTGAAGTCGATGCCGTCCACCACGAAGGTGCAGTCGCACAGCAAACCCAGCTGCCGCTGCTGGTTCAGCTGTTCCAGGACTTGCTTGCTGTGCTGGGGGAAATCCATGGCTGCGGGGAGGGAAAAAAAAAAAAAAAGACCCGGGAGAGGGGTGAGACGGGTGCTGAAACCCCGATGTCGCGTCAGAAAGGGCCACGAAAACAGGACAGATCACAAAGCCACGGATCAACCACAACCTGACCACCCTGTTCGTTAACAAACGCGGCCCAAAAAGCCTAATTTCAGCTCCTCGCTACGGCCACCTGCCTCCCCCACCAAATACAACACCAAAACCTCTCCTGTAACAGGCACAACACCTGCAGAGGAGTCGATTGCACAGTCAGTATATTTTTTTCCTATCCTAACAGCATTTAAAATACATTTATTGCTCTTCATCTGGCTCAAGCTGTGAGCAGGAACCCTGTTGCCTCTGCAAACGTGTCCCTTCAGCGAGCAGGCGGTGCCACCACTCCTGCCGAGGACACAGCATGGGAAGCGTTCATAGAATCATAGAAACATTTAGGTTGGCAAAGACCTTTAAGATCATCAAGTCCAACTGTTAACCCAGCACTGCCAAGAAAAAAAATCAAAAATCTTCATCAAAATCTTCACGCTCCTGCTCATTTTAGGCACTCGCGTCACGATACTGAGGGATTTTAATTTTTTTATCGTGTGTTTGGAGGGAATTCTCCCTGTTTGAAGCATGACTTTGGCTGCAAACGCCTGGAAACACTGCGAAAGCCCATTTTTCAACAAGGTCCTCGTCGGCAAAGGCTGAGAGGTGCCGCGAGCTTGATCCGCTGCCACGCATTGGGGTTTTCTCCTGGGCTGCGCCTGCAGGGCGCAGGGTAGAGAATGAAGGGTTTTCACTCAGCTTCGTTTTCAGAAAATGATTCCTCCGCAGGCCGAAAGGATTGCTTGCCCAGCAAGCGATGAGCAAGGAGGGAGGAGAAACCAAGCAGGGACTATCCGTGGTTATTTGTTCAACCTGCCAGGCCAGGAAGCCCCTGAAGTTCTGACTGCTGGAAGAAGCAAGGTTATGGCCAGGGAAAGTCTCAGTTTTGATGCTAAGCCGATGCTCGGCGGCTCTCTGAAGGTTTCCAGCCCACAGCAGTTGCTTTTCCACTTTACCAGCTCTTAAAAACAACGTGGGGAGTCTCAGGCTGGGGAAAGGTGACAGGTTTGGATCCACAAAACCAGGTCGCTTCCAGGTAGCCGCGAGCGTGTCCCTTCCTCTGGATCCATTCCAGCGTGCACAAGCACGCCGCAGGCGAGCACCGCGGGCAGAGGGAGCCTCCTCCTGTCTGCAGCGGGTGCTAGCAATGCGCTCGGTGAAAGATCTTCCGTCCAAGGATTGGTTCGGTTTCCAAAATCATTCCCAGCGGGGATGAGAAGCCCAGACACCTCCGACAGCATCGGATCACACATGGAGAAAGTTACACTCCCAAAAGACGCTGTTTGTCTTTGCAATTAATAACCCACCGCAACTTTCCCCCAAGCTCTCCAAAACACGGGGTATTTTTTAACCAAACACCTACAGCCTGTCCCAAAATACATCCCTCAACAGCTAGAGAAATCAGTATTTGTATCAAAATCTGTCTAAACCCCCGCATAGGTATGACCCTGTAAGGTCTGCAAAGGAAGTGCTGGGAAAAAAGGGGAGGATTTTCCCAGCAGGACAAACAACGCTGCCTTCCGTGCTTGGAAGTCTCTGCACAGCAGGACCTGAGAAATCACGATGGTTTGATGCGCTAAAAGGCTATTTTTGGTAATTTGTAGGAGGCATTTTGCATCTGAATGATGATTTTTATTGCTCCCTGATTGGACTCGCTTCAGCTTCGCGCCCAAGCTTTGCGAAGGAAGCAAAATCCCAAGAAACTCAACTCCTCCCAAAAAACTTCATCTTTTCTGTGGTTTCCTCCGCAACGTCACGTTACAGCTTTGTCAGAGCATGCGAGCGCAGCGGGGCAGAGGTTGGGACGAGCTGCGTATCGCCCTCATGCCCGAACCCAGCACCCAACGTCCCCCAGCAGCTGAGATCACCTTTGTACACTAAAATCCCTGACTCCAAGCCTTAAAAATCCCAAATCTCTGGATCAAGAAAACCATGGTGCACCCAAAACGCCACCCTGGTTCCTTGCCACTGCTCAGGCAGGGCCAGTTTGTGGCTCCGCTGCCGAGATCCAGCTCCTTTCCTGACCAAATGGGAACTGCTGAAATGGGGATGGATCGGGGGATGGGTCCAGGGAGGGCAAATGCCAACTCAGGCACTGCTGGCCCACCCGATTGCTAAATAAATTATCTCCCGTTAGCGCAAACCCATCGCTGTCGGCTATTTAAGGTTGCAGCGTTGTCTGAGAACGTGTGTCAGTGTGTCAGAGCTCCTCGTCTGAAAAACAAAGATAAGCCATGACTGGTGCCCAACCTCACCCCTGCGCTGCGAGGAGTGGAGGTATCCAGAGGACAGAGGCTGTGGGTGAGACGGTTGCAGCTCTCCTCCAGAGTTTTCCCCCTTCCCGGTGCTCAAGTCAGTCTCTACGCAGCCATCCTGGGAGAAATGGGATTAAAAGCTCCGTTTTAAAACCCAAACCTTGCGTGCTGAAGGTACCAAGGTCCAACGTCACCGAACCCAGGACCGGGCACCCCCCGATTTCACCTTGTCAGAGGCACAGGAACGCCGTTTCCCCTCCCGACCTCTCCCCGACATGGCTGTCGAGTCTCTCGTTACCCGATTAATCACAGAAAAGCTTCGTTATGAGAACACCCACGCCTGCTGCACACACTTGCAGAGATAAATACAGCAGCAACAGTCCCGGGGAGCTTCCCACATGAGCTCCATTAAGCTCTCTCGCTTATTAATGATATTAACCTCTCCTTGTACCTGCCACCTGAGTGCCTACCTAGTAAAAAAAACCTCAAAGCCTCAATAAATTAGAAAAAAAATAGTGGTTTAAATGTCGCCTTTCAACGCTGTCACCATTCAGCCTGAGAAGATAAAAAGGAAGAGGGGGTTTACTTTCTGCCTACCGTCATCTCCCTTCTTGTGTGTCAGCTCGGGGAACAAAGCAGCCCTAATCCTTTCAGTCTCTGCGAAGAGGAGTCTGTCCTCATTTCCAGTAACTGATTCTGCAACATTTTAAGTTAAAAAAATAAAGTTAAGAGCTGATCTGACCGGAATATTCAAGGTACAGATGTGCTAATAATACAGCTTATGAAATAGAGAAGGGCTCTGGAGTTTGTGGTCAGCAGCAAAACCGGAAGGCAAGCTGACATTCAGCTGTAAGGAGGGGAGAAAATAATCACAAGTGACAACAGGCAGGAAAAAAACACAGTGAAAAGGAACTAAAAGGAGAAAGACATGAGGAGAGAGATGATTCTGGACTCCCCAGCGAACAGACACCCTGCAGACCCCTGGGTTATTTAGTTTTTGGGCCCACAGATACGCTCGTGCAGCTCCTGATGTGGCTGTGCAGGCAGGGCTGCCCGCAGGTAACCGGAGCCCCGGGCTGCAGCAGGCAGGGAGCCAGCGGGGCTGCCGAGGCATCGCCAGACCTCGAGTTCTGCTGTGAAAACCGCCCGTTTCTGCAGCGCACGGATAACAAACTAGGAAACCTTCGTTTTCTTGCAATAAACCTGCCTTTGGAACGCTGCCTGATCTCTGAAATTTCGGCAGAAGCTTCTGATGCAGAAATGCAATTAAAGAAACGTGGCTTGTCCATGGAACGCGTCACCTGCACCCAGAAAGCGACGCCCGCGGAGGGCACGTACAGCCGGTATGGGCTGTCATCGCACCAAAAGAGATGCCAGAACATGAGAAAAAAACCCTTTTTAACTGGAGCTGCTCCATGATGCTTTGAAGTTTTCTCCGCTCTTCTGCTAGCAACGTCCTTGATGCGCAGACTGCTCGCGCGGTGTCAGGGGACTCGTCTCGCCCCGCGTTGGCTGTCAGGGCTGTGTCCTCCACAGACGTCTGGCTGTGTCCCGCGGGGATGGTGGCTGCCCCACACGTGGGGAGCCAGGGCTTCGCTCCTGACCTTGCCCCGAATCACCCCACGGCTCTGTGGGGGGACACGTCTCCCACGGCAGACGCAGACACTGTGGTCAGGGTGGGCTGGCGAGGACCCCAGCAGCCCCCGTTCCCCTCGCGACAGCGGCCTGGGCCTCCGCACAGGGCCCGGCAGCCGCCTGAGGAGGGGCCGCTCGGGGTGGGGGGCACAAATCCGGGGGGAAAGAGCT